AAAAAAAAAAAAAAAAAAAAAAGCATGGGTTCTAGATTCAAATCCCAGCTTCATTTTTTAATAATCTGGGGCAAGTAATTTAGTTTGGCTGTGACTCAGTTTTCTCATCTGTAGAATGGGAATAATAGTAGCACTTAGGCCGGGCATGGTGGCTTACATCTATAATCCCAGCATTTTGGGAGGCCAAGGTGAGAGGATTGCCTGAGCCCACAGGTTTGAGACCAACCTGGGCAACTTGGTGACTACCCTGTCTCTACAATAAATCAAAAAGTTAGCCAGGCATGGTGGTGCACGCCTGTAGTTCCAGCTACTTGGAAGGCTGAGGCAGAAGGATCACCTAAGCCCAGCAGGTCGAGGCTATGGTGGCCATGAGTGTGACACTGCACTTCAACCTGGGCAACAGAGTGAGACTCCAACTAAAAAAAAAAGAACAATAATAGCACTTAATTGATAGATCTGTCGTGAGCATTAAATGATGTATGTGTGCCAGGTGCAGTGGCTTACGTCTGTAATTCCAGCACTTTGGGAGGCCAAGGAGGGAGGATCACTTGAGACTCAGTCTTTACCCAAAAAAAAAAAAAGTTCAAAATTTTAGGCTGGGCATGGTGGCTCGCACCTGTAATCAGCACTTTGGGGGGCTGAGGCAGGAGGATTTCCTGAGCCCAGGAGTTAAGACCAGCCTGGGCAACATGGTGTGATACCTCATCTCTACAGTAATAAAAAAATTAGCCAGGTGTGGAGGCACACGCCTGTAGTCCCAGGCTACCTGGAAGAAAAAAGTGGAAGAATTGGCTGAGCCCAGCAGGTCAAGGATGCAATAGCTGTGATCATGCCACTGAACTCCAGCCTGGGTGACAGACTACAACTCAAAAAAAAGAGAGAGAGATGTATGCATAAAGCCTTGTGTATTATAAATGATCAATTGATGCTATCCATTATTGTCAGGATCAACTTGATGATTAAGGCAGCCTTAAGGACACAGTCTGTTCTCAGGGCTTGAAAGTAGCAGATCATTTTACCCTGCTGTGGATCTCTTGGAAGGCAGTTGACAGGAAAGACACAAATGTCCAGCCCTAAAGAATGACCACTGAGGCTGGACTCGGTGGCTCAGCCTGTCATCCCAGCATTCTGGGAGGCCGATGCAAGTGAATTGCCAGAGCCCGCGGGTTCGAGACCAGCCTGGGCAACTTGGCAAGACGTTGTCTCTACAATAAATAAAAAATTAGCTTGGCATGGTAGTGCGCACCTGTAGTTCTGACTACTTGGAAGACTGAGGCAGAGGGATTGCTGGAGCCCAGCAGGTCAATGCTGGGGTGGCCATGAGTGTGCCACTGCACTCCAGCCTGGGCAACGGAGAGAGACTCTAACTCAAAAAAAAAAAAAAGAATGGCCACTGTATTCATTCACAGTATCATGTGAATGCATAAAGAATTTTGGTGGTGCTGCAGGTTGTTTGTTCACAGGAAGATAGTCATGTGAATTTTGTGGCAAGGCCACGTTTTAGAAAGGTTGAGGTATATGTTGCTAGCCTTGTTCTAGTGCCCAGCTGCTCATTTTCTTAGTGTTTTGCATGCTCGCATTTCTCAGCCTGTTTCAGGTCAGGGCTTGCTCCCTTTCGTCTTTGCCCTGATCTCCCTCACCCGAGTTTGTCCCTTCACCCCAGCATCTGCTTATCCTTACCTTCTCTAGTCTTTTCTCCGTAACAAAAAAAGCCACACCAAGTGTGCCACTTTAGATCTTTTTTTTTTTTTTGAGTTGGAGTCTCACTCTGTCACCCAGACTCCCGGCCACCGCAGCCTCGACCCGCTGGGCTCCAGCGATCCTTCCACCTCAGCCTTC